GCGGGGGCGCTGCCGGTTGGTCCCGTAGCGCCGCTCTGGGTGCCACTGGACCAACCCAGCAGCACCCCAACTGCTCTGCCCCAGGTGTCCCCTAGTCAGCAGCTGCTGAAAATGACCAGTGGCTGACTACAGGAAGCCCCTGCCCCAGGCTTCCTGGAATCAGCCGCTGATCAGTTTCAGCAGCAGCTGACTTGGGGGTGCCTGGGGTTCTTAAGTTGAATCTGTATGTAAGTCAGAACTGGCGTCCAGATTTAGCCGCTATTGAAACTGATCAGTTTCAGCAGCGGCTGAATCTGGATGCCAGTTCCGACTTACATACAGATTCAACTTAAGAACAAACCTACAGTCCCTATCTTGTACGTAACCCGGGGACTGCCTGTAGAGAATATGCATATTTGCCAGCCAAAATTGCTGATCAATGAGAATACTGACATCTTCTGCCTTTACAGCTTAAGATCTTGTTCTCTCTCTGACTGAGCAACCTCATAACTCTTAATTCCCTCCAGTGCTTACCCCCCATCTTTTCAGTCCAAACTCCTGTGTATATTTCTTCTTTCCAAAGTTTAAACATGATCACAAGTTCTGAACTGGACAGAATATCCATGCTCCTTTCTCAGCGCAGGAGTCTCTGATGGCAAAATCTAGCTTGACCACACATAAATGCCGCTATAGTGAAGGTGGAAGACAATGAAGAAAGTATCTACCCCTCAGGAAACTGATTTACATACATGAATAAGAACATTGTTATCCTCTTGCAGTTGTATTTCGATACTTACTTCACCATATTTCTCTTTAATCTGTAGATGCAAAGACATTAAAAGGTTACTGGTGAGCTTTATGTACTTGCAGAGCCTTTTGCAGCCAAAAAGCAGGTAAGGTTACTGTGACATAGTGGGGATTATACTCACTCTGTTCACGTTGTTGTATGATTCCTACTGTCTTGTGCTGCTCTGTTTTGTGTGTGTGTGTGTGTGATTTCTTCTCACTGAAGGGGAGGCTGCCCCAGGCTGCTCCAGCTCAGCACGTACACAATAGCTCAGGCTCTCTTGTAAACTGAGCGTAGGTGAGATGTATGACCAGGTGACGTCTTTTGGACTGGAAGCTGGAGAGAGCAGGTGGGGCTGCCTGCAGGGCTGGGACCAGTTGCTGGGTATGTGAGCGAGTCTTGGCTGGCTTTGGATGCAGGAAGTCTAGCTCATGCAGGGAGCTAGACATGGATTGTACTGATTGCTCCTGGTTTCTGGGCTAACAAGACCGCGCTACGCTGTACCCCGATGAATGAATAAACCTTCTGTTCTATATGCTGTCTGAGAGTCACGTCTGGCTGCGGTTGGGGATGCAGGGCCCGGTGGCTCCCCACGCTCTGTGACTGTTATTACACAACTTACATCCTCTGTAGGTGACTTGCATCTGCAAATATTAGAAATGGAATTAGGCTTGCTCTGTATCCTCACCGCAAATGCCCAACAGCATATATTAGTGATGCCTGTGCTGAGATTTTCATTGAAGAATCTCAAATGTCAGTAAAGTTTTATTCTCTTCCTGCACAGAGGGGTTGTATGATTGCTACTGAGAAACCCCACACAGAGGGACTAAATAATTTAGTGATGGTCACACAGTCAATGGCTGAGCAAATGTCAAACTCAGGAGTTCTGACTTCCCTGTCCCTCAGTCTCATCTTCGTGTTGCAATGCCCCTCTGTGTCTGAATGCTTTTCCCAGTCTTCAGATCTGTGCTCTGATCAAAGCAGTGACAGAATGACATGGATGCAAAGTGCACTTATGCAGAACAGTTCATTAAACTCAAACACCTGTAATCTAACCTTGTTCAGAGGAAAGAACAACATAACCTGTTGGAATAAGTGGAAAGCTTTGTACCGTTGCATGGCTGCTCTCGGATTTTCTCTCTCAACCCGGAGACTTCAGGTAGCGCTGAATGAACGCTTCAAATACTGCGTGTCCTGATTGGCTGGGGAGTGGGGAAGTGGCAGGACCTCCACAGGCCGGATCAGCATGTGGAGGCCCTTTTGCCCACCCCAATTTAGTCTCTTTCCCATTTTAAGGAACTGATTTGTGTTGGTTGACCCTGGATTTACTCTTCAGTGTTACTCCATGTAAGGCACAATCTGGTGGTCTCTGCATTTCAGGGTGTGAGTGAAAATAGAACTCTTCTAATTGCCCGGGTCTGCTATTCTGTTGAATTGGGTTTGCTGGACTTTTTGCAGCTGGCTTCTCTCTAGTAGCTGGGAACATTTTGTAATCCACTGTACTGATTCCCAGGGTGATTCCTCTGAAGCAGCAAAGAGCTGTAGATGATTCTGGGGTGCATGTGAGGTTGTAGATGAGAACAGGTATGTGTGGGAGTATCACAGAAGGAAAATGGTTAAGATCCTCGATTTAGGTTGTTGCAGTGTGATGTTTTAACTACACACACTAGAAATGGCTGATTCTGAAATGTTTACCCATCTTAACAACAAATTGTACTGTGTATGTTGATGTGGAGTGCCATGTAGTGTCTTCAGACCTGGGGTATATACCTGTGTGAAGGAAGTCACCTAGTGATTATTTATCCATCTCATGGGGAATTTTTGTGGCTTATTCCAAAGCTATAGGAGTGTAAAGAATCATTTCGGCTGCAGGTTGATCTCAATACTTGGAGAAACCTGCTGATTTTCCATAGATGATTAGGTCACTATATTAAATCAATGAAGAATTAGCTAGCTTCCTGCTTAATATCCTGACCATTACTACATGGGATGAAAGCTCACTTGTGGCTGGTTTCTCACTGCCCAGCTATGGAGGCGCTACCACCAGCCCATGAGTGAGTAATTGATACGTCCTGGCAGAGTAGGAGACACTATTCTCACTGCCCAGCTATGGAGGCGCTACCATCAGCCCATGAGTGAGTAATTGATCCATCCTGGCAGAGTAGGAGACACTCCGATAGCTGTGTAGTATATTACTTTAGTATACAATCTGTAGAGCAGGAAAGATTGCTCAGATAATCTAGTCTTTCCCCATCATCCACTGCATGATTTTTTTCTTCAGTGTATTCTCCACTACCTTGTTCAGTCTTGTTTTAAAAGACTTAAGTGATGACTGAGTTTCTACCGGTTTTAGTTCAGTATCCATATGAACATTCCAGTTGCTAAGTGCTTGAGACTTAACTTGCTACAGGGCATTTGAAGAGTAAATCTCTTTGTTTTCCCCCATGTTAAGCTCTGTGGACTCTGAGCTAACATCTCTTTGCCAGTTGGTGCTGGAGGATTTCAACCTTTGCTTGTTCTACCTGCCTTCTCCTCCTAACCTGAGCTCAGCTAGTGAAGATGAAGAGGAATACGAGAGTGGCTACTCCTTCCTTCCTGACCTCCTCATCTTCCGCATGGTGATCATCTGCCTAATGAGTGTTCACAGCCTCAAAAGGGCAGGTAAGTCAGTGCATTAACCAAACACACTGGTAGTGCTGCAGCTCATTAAATTGAGAGGTGAGAGGACAGTCTTGAATAACGTAAATGGTGGAGGAGATGATTCTGATCATGATCATGACTGTTCTGATCATGCTGTGCCATAGAATAAGTCAGTAATCCCCAAACTCTGCAGGACAAGGCTCCAGGAGGAGCCATCTAGCCCCACTCTGCCATGAGCTCCACTCCATCCCAGTCCCAGTTCTGTTCCAGCCCTCAAAGATGGCCCGTGACTGCTGGCTCCCAGCCGTGGGAGAGCATGGACAGATTTCATTATGGATAAAGGGGGCCACCATAGAAAAATAAAGGGACCCACTGTACATAGGTTAATTTTAGAGTTAGGGTACGTCTAGACTACAGGTTTTTGTTGACAGAGGCTTTGTCGACAGATACTGTTGACAAAGCTTCTGTCGACAAAGAGCATCTAGACTACATCCAGTTCTGTCAACGAAGCAAGCCACTTTGTCGACATGACAGTGTAGATGCAAAGGACAGTGTAGATGCAATAACGCCTTCTGTTTACAGAACTCTGTTGACAAAAGGCATTATTCCTCGTAGAATGAGGTTTACCGCCGTCGACAAAACTCAGCGGTAGTGTAGACACAGGTATAATTTTGTCGACAAAAGTCCACTGTTGTCTAGACACACTCTCAGTGATGGAAAAGACTTCTGATATTGGATCTAAACCTGTCTTCCAGGTCAGGTCAGGATTGCTCCCTGCAGTGTATTCTCTAATGTCCATTTCAACGTGAAATGTTTTAATGATGCTTCCACCACTTCCTTTGGGAAAATTTAGATGAAGGATAACAGTCTGGTAGTGGAAGCATGTCAGCACCAAGAAGGAAGAGGAATTGTTTATGGTGTGTAACTACTCTCCCTTCTAAGTGTTTACGGCCTTCACATACCAGCTGGTTCTCCTGCTTGCCACCACTGGAGGAAGATCTGCACATATAACCTATTATTTCTTATTAAAGTCAGAAGTGAAATAGTAGGATACCACCTCGGTCTGACTTATGAATTGCAGTTTTTTCAGGAATTGGTAACCCCTGGATATTTATACCGTTTGTCAGGATGGCTATCCCCCATGCAGTTACACAGTAAATCGTAAATGTATCTGAACTGACATGCATTTTGCTGCAAAGCTTGGGTGGTCTATTCACTTCACCTTACTCTGCGGTCTCGTTGCAGGTTCAAAGCAATACAGTGCAGCCATTGCTTTCACACTGGCTCTCTTTTCTCATCTGATAAACCACGTCAATATTCGCCTGCAAGCAGAACTGGAAGAAGGGGAGAATCCAGTTCCAGCCTTCCAGAACGATGGCACAGGTAAGAGGAGGGAAATGTTAACTCAAACACAGCACTCACCTGCTTACCCATATGTGGCCACCATGCCCCTTTCCAGAGTGTGTTCAGCATGAACTGTGTAGTGCAGTGCACAGCTATGGATTTACAGAGCTGAGTTTAAAATACTTTGATCCGTCAGTGCCAGGCTGGAAGTACCAGGTACAAGTAGTATGCTCAGGCTCGAGGGAAAGGAACTTCCTTCTTTTGTTGTGGAGTACCCTGTTCTGGAATGACTACATGTCCATAAGAAGCTGACAGAGATTCTTGCAGCAGTGAAAAATAAGGAAGACCCTTTGAATTCTGAGGTGGCCTATGGGGAAGTGTGTATGTGGGGAGAGAACACTCAGACATTTGCTGAATTATTGAACCGCATTTTCAGTTTCCCAGATGTGACCGAAGTGCACATCCTCCCTGTCTTGTAATGTTTCCATCTGCTTCTCATTCATTTCAGGTTCAGGGTATAGTTCAAAAGAGTCCTGCATGGCTTTTAGAACTCTTCATTGGCTTTGCTTATCTGTGCAATTCTTGCTGCCTTTTTTGATAAGTGTGAGTGGGTTTATATGATGAGGTTGCTTGCTATAGAAGAGGACTGGATTCGACAATCTAGGAGGCCCCTTCCAATCTTGCATCCTCTGTTCATCTAGCACACCTTTACACTCTCTCATTTCATGATCTTACAGTTCATGCAAGAGTCACCTTCTCTCTTGTCTGAAATAAACATTCTGTGTCTCTCTAGTTTGTTCTCCTGCATGGCCACAGAAAGTAAGGTAAGAAATAATAGGCTTCAGCAAGGGGGATTTAGGTTAGATAGTAGGGAAAACTTTCTGAATGCAGGGATAATAAAGCATTGGAATAGACTTTCCAGAGAATTTATGGCATCCCCATCGTTGGAAATTTTAAGGAACAAGTGGGACAAACAACTGTCAGGGACATTCTAGGGTTATTTAGTCCTGCTTTGGTGCATGGGGCTAAATTTGATGACTCTTGAGGTCCCTTTCAGCCCTGCATTTCTATTTTTGTAGGATAAACCACAGGTCTTTGGTCTGCAATATTGCCTATTGATCAGGCTTTTTATTTTCTTTCAAGTCAATTCAGCTTTGGTGCAAGCTGAATTTGTAAATTCTGCCCAGTTGCTATCTTTAGAAAAATGGAAATTAAGATTTTTTTTGACCCAAGTGATGTACTTGGAGATTCACAGGGCTGATTCTTCAGTATATGACCAGGGATAATTAGGATGTTGTAATGACCACTAATTAAAGATGAGGATAACTTAACTCATCATCTGTAGTCTCAGAGGGGTACCTATGTTAGTCTGTAACTTTAAAAACAGCAAATAGCCCTGTGGTACCTTATAGACTAACAAATATATTAGATCATGAACTTTCATGAGTAAAACCAATCCGATGAAGTGTTTTATATCCATGAAAGCTCATGAGGTAGTGTAGACATACCCTTACAGACTAACATATATTAGATCATGAGCCTTCATGAGTAAAACCAATCCGATGAAGTGTTTTATATCCATGAAAGCTCATGATTGAATATATTAGTCTGCAAGGGGCCGCAGGGCTGCGCATGGTTGAATCATCTCTCGGTTAATTTTGCTAAATATTACTGTGCTGGGGTCTTAATCACTTGCCTGAAACAGTTTCACTAAACACACCAAACATATCCAGAATAATGTACAGACTAACCTGAACAGTAATAGATGTATTTTTAGAATGTAGTTTATGTAGCTCATTCATTTCTGCAGAAGAGGAATTTAACTTCAGCCTGCCTGCTTTCTTTCCTTCCTCCATTGAATGTTTCAACCTGTACTTTAACTACCTCTCTAAGAAAATTCCCACATATCACTGTCCTGCAGTGTTGTTTAATAAACTATTGTGTTTATAAAATTGATGCAGGTCCTCCCCAGTCCTTGTTTTAAACAAAACAAGGTGAGTTAAGTATCTTATGTGCTATCAGTCTAATGAGGAAGGTGGATTAGACCATTCAATCCAAGATTACTGAGAGTAGCAGTTGGGTTTTAATTTCAAACCTGGCATGCATGTGGTTATCTTGCCCCTTTGTCAGCAATCTGAATATAAATGCACGGAACATGATTAACTGAAAAGTAAAATACAGGCTTGTTTTTAAATCAAGATTATTTTAAATGGGTTGCATCTAAGAAAAATTAGTCAGATGACTGAATTCTTGGCAGAAGATGGCATTTTTGATCAGTCAGTGAATGTTTTTCATGCTTCTACTAAAATGTGTGTATTCCTCTTTTGATGAGGACTATTAAGAAGTAAATTTTTCTGTGTAGTTAGTTACCAATGTGAGCTTTCATTGGAGGGTTGGGCTGGGGAGAAAGTTTTATATTTAAATGAATTTTGTACTGGGATGGCAGTCGAAGCCATGTAAATGACTGATCAGGTACAGCTTGGACAATTTGAATTTAAACTTCTTTAGACCTAAGCCTGTGTACCCTAGCGTTGGCCTTGACAGACTCAATGTTAAAGGCCCATTCTGATCTTATTCTTTCTGCTGAGTTTATTTACACAAGGGTGTTGATTGTGGGTTGTATAATATGGGTTCCCTAACTCGATCTTTCCATTAATTTCACACTAGCTGCCTGTCTACCAACCATCAAATAGAAATGGCTTTTATTTGGTAGGTGGGACTTGGACAGGATTTAAACTAGTGTCATAAGCTGTTCTACCCTGTTTTTGCTATAATAAACTTTTGCTAGCGAATGGAACTGGGGTTGCAGTTAGGAGGTAAAGGAATTGTCTGTATTTGAGCTTGTATGTTTCTGTGTAACTGAGGGTTGGTCAGGGTGTGGGGGTCACTTCGCCTCACTTGCTGGTGCTTATGTTGACCCATTTGTAAAGTGGGATGATTTCTCAAGGCTGCCATGAAACATCCTCTGGTAAAAGGTGCTGTATGAGTGAGACATGGGATGCAACCTCGGGCTTGGGGCTGGCCATCTGCTTGGGTTGGATGTCAAACAGTTCTAAGTGGATTTGGTTTGGGTGTCTCTTGCAGATGACCAAGAGACTCGGGAACCCGTGAACTCCATTGACAAGGAAGCAGATGCTGACTTAGCCAACCACCGGCCCACCGATGAGCAGAGGAAGAAAGACAGCCAGAAGGGCAAAAAATACTCTCGTCTCTCCTGCTTGCGCCGCCGGCGCCATCCCCAGAAAGTGGATGAGAGTGACCTAAGTGAGGGCTTCGACTCTGACTCCAGCCAGGACTTCACTAAGGGCAGTGATGGCTCGGAGAGCGGCTCGGAGAAGAGCGATGAGGAGGTGGAGACGGCCTTTGATGTGGAGACAGACTCGGACATGAACAGCCAGGAATCCCGTTCAGACTTGGAGGATATGGAAGACGAGCCAGGGGAAGAGGGAGGTGGCCGAACCAAAAGCATGAAAAACGGGGCCAAAGAGGCCTTAAAAAATGGCATGGAGGGGAGCGGGTTGGTGGACTCTAAAAACCTAAGTGTCTCCAAGACTGAGAATTCAGATGCTGCAGTTAATGGGCCAGGGTCCATGGGCACTAATGAAGCTAGCATAGCCAGTAACCTCCAGGCCATGTCCACACAGCTGTTCCAGACCAAACGCTGCTTTCGCTTGGCTCCCACCTTCAGCAATGTCCTTTTGAAACCAACTCATGAACCAGCTCCCATGAAGGAGGTAGTGGACAGCAAGCCTTGTGTCAATGGGGATGTGGAGAAACCTGGCTTCCCCGAACAAGGTAAGGATTATACTTGGTTAAACATGGTATCTTTACTGGCATGTGAGATTACACATATGCAGGTAAAAAATGATTGAGCAATAGCAGTCTTCTCAAGTGAAATCCATCACTTTTTATTGCGTACTACCATGCCACTCGGGAGCCCTGGTTGTCAATTGTGACCTCGTTGTGCTAGGTGCTACAGACTAAGACAATCCCTTCTCCAAGAGGCTTACAATCTAAGGCCAGGTCTACACTAGACCTGGTAGGTCAGCTTAAGGTACTCAACTCCAGCTATGTAAAATGTAGTTGGAGTCGGTTTACCCTAAGCCACGCTTGGTGCCATCTTCACAGTGGGAGGCAGTATGCCACCCTCAGCATTCAATATAGTGGGTAACCAGATCTACTAAGTCGAATGCCAGAAGATGGCTCTCCAGTGAGGCAAGTAGAAATGTGGCCTTAAGATAAGTAGAGACAACAGAAGGCTAGAGGGAGAGAACACAGAGACGTTGCTGGTCAGCATGACACACTGAAGTGTCGCTTGAGCCCTGTTTTAAGCAGAGTGGGGTTTAAGTGGTGGAAAGGTTAGCTGTTTGCCAACCCTTAATGTGTGGAAGGCCAGTTCCATATTTTACTATGAGAGGGCAGTGCATCGGGCCAGTGTTGCATAGTATTTCTGTGTGACACAGTAAAAGATGATTAACCTGTTAATATAGAACAATTTAGTGAGAACTTTACCGAACTAATTTGATATTATTTGTAAACATCTATGGAATAGGCACAATAATATTTCCAGGTGGATGTTTAGAGGCTTTATCTATTAATATAGAGGGACATTATAAGCCAATGAGTCTTCTGAAATGTGGGCTCCATTCTCTGTGGGATGCAAAGGACTGCCTGAGGAGTATCAGTGGAACTCAGTTAACAGAGCTGACATTTAAACACCTTGCTGCTCTTCAAAACGTGAGAAAGGAGAGGAAAGGTCATTATGAAGATCTGTACCAGCATTTCCCTGGTGCAGAGTATTAAATTGCAGGGTGGAGAATTATATACAAATTAAGGCTATATCTAGGCTGCAGAGCTTATGTGGTATAGTCCCTCTGTGTAGACGCAGCATAAACCGGTAGGAATAACTTTTCCACTTCCCTACATGATGTTAGCTAAGCCAGCAGAAGCACTCTTTTGTCGGTAAACATGGTGCTACATAGGAGTTTTTCTGGCACAGCTATGTTGGCTAGGGACTGGTTTTTTTCACACTGCTAGATGACCTAAGTATGCTGGCATAACTTTGTAGCATGGGCCAGGTTTAGCAAAAGAGTTGTGGTCCATTCCCTTTTCTTAGAAGGGGGCTCAACTTTCAAAATTTTGGAAATGTTATAACCTGTTCAAAAAAGAACAATTCTGCTTCACTAAGTCTCTGTCCTTTCTTACTTTTGTGGTACTGTGAGAAACATTCTTTTACCATGCACTGTGTAGTCATTTTCACCAGTGCAAAATATGTACAGTATCCTACCATTGTGATTTACAGGTGTTTTGTACTTGATTTGCGCTAGTGTAAATGACTGCACAAGGTGCAGGGTAATGGGGAAACTTCCATTAATGTTTAAATGCAGATATCAAGTCATCAGTATGTCTGTAAAATTAGTCTTGGGTTCTGTATTTCTTGTCAATGCTTCCTGATTAAATACATTCCACTCTTAAAGCTAAAGGTCTGTTCAGTTGCTAGTGCTGCAGAGTTTAACTGAATTTAAATTTTTGGCTGTTTTACTGCTTATTAAATCATAAAAATTCTGTGATGGGAATTTGATGAGGAATGAGGCAGATAGAACCCAGGTGACTCTCTTCTAGCTACACTGGCTGGGTGAGCTCTGCAGAGTTCACAGAAGTGACAACTTGTTTGTAACAGTAAAAGTCAGCAGATTTGACTGTGTGACATGCAAGGAGCAGAGATGTGGAGTTGGTTGGGGCAATTTCTATGCTCTCCATACAGCCATAGCATCACATCACTCTTTAGGTTTGTAGAGCCAGATTTTAACTTCAGATGCACTGCAGATTTCATAAAGCTATTCAGCCACATGTATTAGTCAACAAAGTAACTTGGGAAAGAACAGCTGTAAAAAGAGATAATACAAGTAGATTTTCTGTATTTCGGATGAACTACTTGGGCCAATCTGGTCTAGTTTGTTAATCACTCCTTCCAGCTTCCCTCATAGTACGGAGGAAGGAAGCATTTTGCATCCTACTCAAATCCCAGTGTCTATAGGCATGCAACTCTGACGAGGACTCAGGCTTTGCTGAGGCTAGACTATAAAGGTATAATGTTAGATTTTGGTAGCTAGCTTGCGCTAACGAGGTAATCATAAACTCTAGTCAAGACAAAGCAAGTTGTATTTTAGCATGCCAAATCTGGAGATTTGGAAGGCAATAGATCAAGTGAGCTAACATGGTCTAATGCCATAGCATTAAATCCAGGTCTAGACAAATCCTCAGATTGGCATTAATCCACCTCAGAAGGAGCTGCCTTTAGATCCTGATTGAAAAAGGACTGGGGGAGGGGTGTCCCTGAAGTGGGGCTAGAGTTTCAGGTCCTTATCAGAAATTTCTTCTGGCCAGTAAAAAGCCCACAAGCGAAAGTCTTTTGTTATAAAGTGATTTAAGATTCATGAAAGAGACTTTGGTTGAATAGAATATATAATCTGTAACCTGTTGTAAAGCGCTATTATTATCTATCCCTAGTTTTATTCACAATCACTGCAAAGAATGATGATGGATGGGTTTGATGTAACGTTCTTGTTAAAAATTTAAAAATCCCATACATCAGCAAATTCCAAACATCTGGTTCTAGCAACCCTTTCCCCTCACTCCAGTTATTCACAATCACTGCAAAGAATGATGGAGGATGGGTTTGATGTTATGTTCTTGTTAAAAATTTAAACATCCCATACATCAGCAAATTCCAAACCTCTGGTTCTAGCAACCCTTTCCTCTCACTCCACGTGTTTCTTTAATGTTTTGTATTGCATTCTAAAAGTTCTTATCAGAGATCCCAAAGTACTTCACAGGCATTACATACAGAGATATGGCAACTGCAGCTGGTGTGAAACAAGATAACCATTTAACATCACTCCACAATACTTCATCAGCTTGAAAGGAAGTGAAGTGTAGTGCATCTAGGAAAAGAGACAAATAATTGGAACATAGAAATGGCCATACTGGGTCAGACCAAAGGTCCGTCTTTCCCAGTATCCTGTCTGCTGACAGTGGCCAATACCAGATGCCCCAGAGGAAGGGAACACAACAGGTAATCATGTTGTGATCCCTCTCCTGACTTCCATTTCCAAACAAATAGGGACACCATTCTGACCCATCCTGGCTAATAGCCATTAATGGACCTAACCTCCATGAATCTATCTAACTCTTTTTTTGAAACCTGTTATAAGTCCCTATCTAACTCTTTTTTTGAAACCTGTTAAAAGTCCCAGCCTTCATCACATCCTGTGGCAAGGAGTTTCACAAGTTGACTGTGTGCTGAGTGAAGAAAAACTTCCTTCTGTTTGTTTTAAACCTGCTGCCTATTAATTTCATTTGGTGACCCCTAGTTCTTATATTGTGGGAATAAGTAAATAACTTTTCCTTATTCATTTACTGGCCATGATTTTATAGACCTCTATCATATCCCTCCTTAGTCTCCTCTTCTCCAAACTGAAAAGTCCCAGTCTTTTTAATATCTCTTCATATGGGGCCCATTCCAAACTCCTGATCATATTTGTTGCCCTTTTCTGAACCTTTTCCAATGTCACTATATCTTTTTTGAGATGAGGAGACCACATTTGTATGCAGTATTCAAGATGTGTGCGTACCTTATTCTCTATCCCGTTTTTCATGATTCCTAACATTCTATTTGCTTTTTGGACTGCAGCTTCACACTGAGTGGATGTTTTCAGAGAGCTAGCCACAGTAACTCCAAGATCCCTCTCTTGAGTAGTTGTAGCTAAATTAGTCCCCATCATAGTGTATGTATAATTGGGATTATTTTTTCCAATGTGCATTACTTTACATTTATCAGCATTAAATTTCATTTGCCATTTTGTTGCCCAGTCACTGAGTTCGGTGAGACCTTCTTGAAGTTCTTCACAGTCTGCTTTGGTCTTAACTATCTTGAGCAGTTTGGTATCATCCGCAAATTTTGCCACTTTGCTGTTTACAATTATTCTGTTGAAGTTTTGCTTTTGCTGTGCAGTGGGAACCCACAGGTGATATTGCTGTGGGAGTGTGTGTTTTGAATTCATGACATTTTGTACATTTAAATTCTCGTCGACAAGGTTGAATAAACCTGTGTGGCATCTTCCTTTGAATTTCTCTGGCTCAATTGAGCACATATATAAAGTCACACCTCTCCTGACTGATTGTGCCTTTCAAACAATGCTGAAGAATGCCAAATGGCTTCTGACAATGTCAGCATTGGCTGCCTGAGAAATTGGTCACTAGCTGTGGGTACTGATGGGTGGAGGAAAGACTATTGCTGTATTAATGAGGAACCTTGTTTGTCTAATGCAGTGGTTCTCAAATTTTTTTCCCCCTACAGACCACATGAAAATTGCGGATCTCAGCAGACCACGTAATGATCTTTCGAAATGTTTGTACCCTTAGCTAACTGTTGCACTATGTTAAAAAAAACCTTCATTAACTATATTTGTTTGACATATAAGCACACAACTCATTTTAATATCAGTAGGGGTTGCTCCACTGTCCCAGAGCTGGGGCTGGGAAGGAGGGCTGTCTCTCGCAGGCAGCTGCAGAACTAGAGCTGAGGAAAATCGCCTTCTGTCTCTGGCTGCTGCAGCCCTGCACCTCCCAAATTCTCCCCACTCCTTTTTCTCACCTTGTACCCCTTCCCACCTACCCCTATTCCCGCCACCTCTCCATATATGTGCATCTTCTCCACTGATTAGGTGCCTGGAGCCAAGCCTGTGAACCGTTAATTAGTAGGGCTGCCCTCCGTTGTCTCATGTGCGGCTGCCCAGGCATGCATCTTACAGGGAGCTCTCCTTGGACCACCTGAATAGGGCTTGCAGACCACAGTTTGAGAGCCTCTGGTCTAGTGGTTAGAGTGAGGGATTGGAAGTTGAGACACATGGGTTCTGTTCTTTCTTTAATCAGCTGATTTGCTTTACGATCTGGGGCCACTAATTAAACATGGACCTGTATCTGCTTCTTTGAGTAAGAGCCTCTGTTTAACTTTGAGATGCTCACATATAAGGAGTTGCAGAATGTGATGGATTTTTACTGATGAGCCTCAAGCATTTAAATAGCCTTGGCCCATCCATCCCTTGCTGCATCTAAAGTACCAGGTGCAGCTAGTGCTGCTCCAAAGAGCTGATTCTGGATCTCTTAAACTTAAACTGCATGTTAAAGGTATCGGGGGTGACTTGCTTCCTGCTTTACTTGGTTTCGGTGGTGCAGCTGCAGAGAATTTTCATTCTGATTAGCAGTCATGCAGCTATATCAGCACTTTTCTGCCAACCAAAGGAGGACATGTAACATTTCATAAGTCTTGATAATGGATAGGGAAATAAAGAATGTAAGGTCTTATTGTAGAGGAGGAGATGTATTTCATATGCTAGGTCAAATCATAACTGAATGAAATTTGCAGCTGAGGGAGCTCTTTAGCAAGACCAGTGTGGCTTTGGGTTTATTGAACTCTCATTGGTTCTCTGCTTAAGTTTTTATTTCCTTTCTTTACCTCTATTGGACAAGTTTTAACAAGATGTTTATTTCTGTTGACAGTACAACTGTCTTTCTGTGGGATACAAAAACTCCTCCGACCCCAACATGCAGATCATTCCTGGCTTTTGCCATGTATCCTTAAGTGTGGTGGGTTTGTCTCGAAAATTGCCTCCGTTTATAAATTTGCTGTTAAAGCAAGCCAGTCATTCCACGGCTTTCTTTAAACCAGGACCAGTATTCATGCAGCATAAATGGAGCTTATAAAGCAGGAAGTGTTAAATAATTGTACTGAAAATAGCTCCAGATAAGGATGGAGATGCTCACTTAAGTATTCAAATGAATGAGTATCAGTTCCAAAACAGGTGGACTTTCATTGAGAGAGAATTGAATCCGATTTAGAGATGTGGCTGGTTAACCGGGATGCATCACCCTAGCGGGTCTTGAACATGTTGCCTTCTAGGGATGTAAGCGACTAATTGCTTACCGCCTTGCTGCCTCTGTCACAAAGAGGCAGCAAGGAGGAGGGAGTGCAGGAGGGAGCCAGCTTAAGCTAGTTCCCCCCAGCTTCAGCTCCATGAGAGGGGGTAGGGGCACAGCAGTGGCATTCCAACTTTGAAATGTACAAGAGTCCCTGCTGGGGCTCTTGTACATTCAAAGAGGGAGCAGGGCAAGGAGCCTGGGACCCGTGGGGAACTCCCCGCTGACCCCGGGCTCCACGCTGAGTTTCAATCTTTGAAATGCACAAGAGCCCCTGCTGGGGCTCTTGAACATTTCAAAGGCAGAACACGCTAGTCCTTATCGACTAATCAACTAGTCGATGGAAATCCAATCGATTATTTGATTAGTTAATCAAAATTTAACAATCCTGCTGCCTTCAAAGAGATGATAATGCCAATCAGCAAACTGCTGTTGTGGGGGTGTGCAGAGGAAGTGGGGAGTTTTGAAGCATCTTGTCCTTCCCACTCCAATAGTGACTCCGATAGTTTTTTTTTTTTTTTTTTTACCAGAAGGCAGCCACTTGATATTTAGCACATGGAATCCTTGCTCTTTTCTGTCTTGTTTCAGATGACTTGTCTGACTCTGAAGAGAGCATCTCCAGTAATAAATCCTGTAAGAATGAGAGATCCCTGCAAGAGAAACTAGAGATCATAACCAATGAGGGCCTGCTTCCGACGGTCAAGGTGTTCCTGGACTGGTTGAGAACCAACACTGACCTCATCATCATGTGTGCCCAGGTGTGGGGGTTTTGTTTTAATGTACTCTGTAAATGTCAGCATTTCCGAAATGCTGCTTGGGGTGGTTATATTGTGACAAGCCTCTCTAGTTTCAGGTGGATACTTTGTTTCACTTGCTGGCATAAATTATTGTTGTGATTAGGGATGTAATAGTATAGTCGATTAACCGATAAGCAAAAGCTTATAGGTTAATGCTATAGGCTACACGCATTTCTCTCCCCCCACCCAAACCAGTAAATTTTTTAATAGGGTTGGTCAGCACCCAGCTCAGTTCTGGCTCACGCAGGGTCCCAGTCCTACCCCTGCTGTGATTCTGCATTTAAAGTGTATTAGGAGCCAGGCGGGGTAGCCCAGCTCAGTTCTGGTTTGCGCTGGGTCCGGGAGCTCAGACCCCACCCCCAAACAGGGGCTGCTGCCACCCTGTTCTGCCTCCTCTTTATCAGATGCAGCAGCACAGGGTGACAAACTCCTGTTTCACAAGAGGAGCTGGTTTTTAAACTGGCTCCCCTAGCGGACTAGCCCCCGCCTGGCACCCCACGCTGCTACTGACCCCGTCCCCAGGGACCATAGAATACACCAATTCCTCATTTAACATGTGCCCGCTTAACACGTTTTTGCGATAGCACGATTTTTTTGGAAACGTTTTTTGAATTACATGATCGTCCCCGGAATAACACGATTTTGACACTATTCCCCCAGCCAGCCCATTGCCACCAGCTGTGCAGGGCTTCCCCCACCTCCCTGCAAAGCGGCGGAGGGTTTGCCGCTCGCCGCACCATTCCCAGCAGACTCCTCCTCGTCGGACGCCTTGCTCCCTCTCCTCTGCCCTCGCTTGCAGGCCGGCAGCTGGGTTTCCCCAGCCAGCCCATCGCCAGCGGCTGCGTGGGGCTTCCCCTCCCTCCCTGCAAAGCGACGGAGGGTTCTCTGCTTGCCATGCCGTTCCCCGGTGATCCCCCTTCACTGGACACAGTGCGGGTCCTGGCAGATCCATCACAGGGGCATACTCCCAACCCAATCCCCCTCCCCTTCCTTTCCCCAGAGCCAAACACCTCCCCTCCCAGCTGTAACCCAATCCCCTTTTTCCCCCAACCTTATGTCCCAGTTCCAACAGACATCAGTGCTTGAAACACAACTCCCACCTTTTCCATTATTTTCAATGGGAAAATTGACCCCGCATAACACGTTTTCACTTAACACGATCATTTTCTGAAACATTTCTGTAGTGTTAAATGAGGAATTACTGTAGTCAACTAACAGATAAGAATTCATCAGGTTACTCAACTAATCAATTAATCGATATTTAACATCCCTAGTTGTGATGTTAACATGTCTTATTAAACAGATCCCAAGTTGCACCTCAGATGTAACAGCCTCTCAGTGATGGGAGTAATGAGCCCTGAGCATGGTTTGTAAATCAGTGTATTAAGTTTGCAAAACTCTTTGGGATTTCTTGCGATGAAATGTATTCACAAACAAATTGGTTTCCACCCATTGTTATAACTACTGTATTGGAAGCTTGTGCTGTACAAATAAGTTTTGGTGATGAGGGAACAGGAAATTATTAAATAGACATGGCCTAAAACAAACCCACATCTAGATAAGGAGCATCTGCCATTGCTGTAGAGTCTAGTTTCTGCTTCAGCAACTCACCAAAAAAATGAGAGGATGGATATAGAGGCAAATGCTAGTTAGGACAGGAGATTGGGTGTCCATAGCCCAGGGATTCTCTTCTCGACTTGGCTAGTGTCTTGTGTCTTTGAACAAGTCATCCTCGCCTCTCTGCTTTGGTTTCCCCCTCTAAGCTCTGCCACACAGGATGTTGAGTCTTAATTATTTGCACAGTGCTTTGAAGTGTCCAAAAGGTGCAATAAAAGTGCATCGCATCCTTCTAATTATTTACGCCTCTCTTGAGTTGAAGATTTGTGTGATGATATCTTTTACAACCTTTTTTTGTTTTTTATTTTTTCTCAGAGCTCCCAGAGTCTATGGAACAGACTGTCTGTGCTTCTGAACCTTCTGCCTTCTGCTGGAGAACTGCAGGAACCAGGTATTGCCGGAGCCCTTTCTTTATCATCCTCTCCCAGCCCTGCAAATTAACAATAAGGCTCTCTGCTCAGTGGGGCTTATAGGCATTATCCTGCAGGGTGACAGCCGCTAACACCACTCGGTTTACAGGGATGGTGGTATGTAAGTAAGGCCTATAAGTTAGCCTCTGTTGTGTTTAATCATGACTCAAGTTAGTTCCGTCTCATGGCTTGGTTAGCTAGTGTGTGTGGAGTCAAATGGTCCTGAAGCAGTGTACTTGTCTATAACACACACTGACTGACTAAAACCGATAGAATGCTGTGGACATTCTCATGTGACCACATGCTTGAGCTCTGGAGAACATAAAGCACAGCGTAAGACTTCTGATTGTCGCTGTCCTAGCATCAGCGATGATCCGTCACATCTTACTGTCTTCCTCTCCAACAATCTAGGGCTGGCTCTTGGGAACGAAATCAAGGACTTAATGATTGGCTGTGAGCTCCCAGACCTGAGCACCAACTTGCTGCTTCCAGAAGACGTGGCTCTCCGTAACTTGCCCCCTCTGAAAAATGCACACAAGAGGTTTAACTTTGAACAGGACAGACCCATGCTCTCAGCCGTGGAGGAGGTGAGGATAGGCGCACCCTACATTCTTGGTACTGGCTAAATTTGCCTTGATAGAAATTTTCCAATACCTTGGGAAACACAGGATGAATGGGAGAGAATGTGCCCCAAACTGAAATACATTTGTGAACCTCAGGATGATTCATGTTGCTTTTAGCTCTACCCTGAGGCAAAGTTTGGAAACTTCCCTTCCTCCTCAAAGAAACACAGCTGTGACCTGTTGGCTTCTGTGCTATGCTTAACCCCTTGCCCTCTTTGCGTGGATAAATTAATGTTATCGATGCCCCATCTGAGATGAATCTTGCAAAATCTGCAGGCTACTTCCTAGAGCCCTTTGTCAGTGAGACAACTGGCAGTTGCACAAGAATTGGCTTTGTGCCATACTCCTGCACAGAAGGGTTTTAACTGTCAGCCCAGCTGCAGAGTTAAAAAGGCAAAGGTTATTGTTACTTCATAGGGGAGGATGAGACATTTAGGGAGAGAAACAGGAAAGTAGTGATCCAGCTAATTTTTGTGGCAATCTCTGACCTGTCTAGTGACTTGGACTACATTAACATTTGTCCAAATTGCTAACTAATTTTTAAGGAAAGGTTATGGCCTTTGATCTGGAATCCTGGGGAGGAATTCCTACATATCTTGGTAATGGCTCGTAATTGACACCCTTCTTGATTTTGGTTCTCTCTGGGGAAACTCTGAAACAAGATTTTTAAAAAAGCCAAGTACTGCCCCTCATTTTACCAAAGCCCACTTAGCTGCCCTGTTGGCATGTCACCTAAAATTAGTCTGTACCCCTCTTCAGTCAGACTGCTCCTCACATTCCAAAACTGGAGCCAACAGAGAGAACTAGTCAGCGCAAGGTGCTCTGAAAAGCCAAGTGTCATTCTTCTCTGCTGTATTCTGTTGGTTGAAAACTCAGGCTGCAAACATTTCAAAGCACTCTGGCTGACTCTTCCTGCACCCCTCACTCGGTTTATTTTCCCCCAAGGATTATTACGTCCTGCATCTTCAGGAACGTTCACAGATTTTTTTTTTTTTGCACTTTGTATATATATTTTTAAGTCATTTCCACCTTTTTCTAAAAGTTTAGATTCCAGCTTCTCAGCTAGCACAGGCTGCCACTCGTGGGGTGTGGTCCATCTCATGTCAAACCGTCTCGTTCCTTGCAGTCCGTGATTCGTATTTGCTGCATCCGCAGCTTTGGCCACTTCATCACCCACTTGCAAGGCAGCATCCTGCAGTTTAATTCGGAGGTTGGGATCTTCATTAGCATCGCTCAGTCTGAGCAGGACAACTTGTTGCATCAGGCCCAAGCCCAGTTCCGCATGGTGAGTTGGAAGTGTATTGGAGGAGCTGATGTTCTGACTTAAGATATGCAGGCATTCCAGGTGCAATTTCAGGCATAGGAACCAACTCTTCTAGTGTCATTCACAACAGAGCCTGAAACCACAGTGTAGTGGTTAGAGCTCTGTGATCCTGATTTCCTTGGTGGTGGTGCTTTCAGCAAAACACTTCGGCTAATGTTGCCGATTGGCTCCTCTGCCTAGCATTTTATTTCTTAACAAGCTTGGTAATGGCTCGTAATTGACACACTTTCAGTGCCCAGTGAGAGGAGAGATTGGCTACATTCCTCTTGTGGAAGCTGCTTACAAGGAGTAAAGTGCACGTAGGGACAAAAGTCTGTTACTGCTGAGTCTTGCTGTTTTGTAAGAGGATAATCTGCCCCCACCGAGTTCTGAATGAAAAGTCAAAAATAATCTCGCATGCAGATGAAAGTGCCACAAGTATTATCACACAGCTTAATGCAGGGAATTGGCTTGAGGGAGCCACCCCACTTCATGGCAAATCATGTCGTCTTTGGGCCTGGGGAAAACCGCATCCCAGGTTTGCAGCCCTGGAGAATCAAAAGTTTGCTGTACAGAATAGACACAGCCCAAGAATTGGCAGAACCCAGCTATTTTCTATGGTGCCCCAACAAAATTTGCATCTGCTCTCTCCTGGAGAGTTTTAGGAATCCATTCTTCAGCTCCTATCTGCTGAGACAGCTAACAAGGTGAGCCAATCATGAGGGTGACTTCTGTGCTATGGAGACCCTCCCGCTCATTTCACACAAGCCACCATCAGATAGTAACAACTGTTGTTGTTGTCTTGAATTGGATTTAAGCTGGAGGTGTAGTTTTCCTCCCTTAACAATTTAGTAAATTGCTCCCTTTGAGCAATTGAGTTCCCCTTTCTCAGTACCTTTCTGGAAGTACATGCTAATCATTAGCCCTCACTTTTCCTGCTAATTTATTTTTAATTCTTATTTTTACTACCAGGCTGCAGAAGAAGCTCGTCGGAACAGGTTAATGAGAGACATGGCTCAGCTCCGACTGCAGGTATGAGATCCCAGCTCTGAACGAAAAAACCAGGGCCTGTTAGCTTAATGTCCAACACAGTAATGAATGTGGGTTTGCACATTTCTGTTTGGTATACTTAGAGAGAGATTATTTTTGGGGTGATAGTTATCCATTTCTCTTCTTAAAAACAAAACTGTTCAGACTCTCTATTTTGGCATAATGTAATAAAAACTGTAAAGCTCTACCTCTTAAAACAATACTGTCTGATTGAGGCATTGTGGTTAGAATGGGGGTACTATTAGTCAGGACTCCTGGGTCCTATTTCCGGCTCTGCTATTGATTTCTCTGTGCCGTTGGCCAAGCTCTCAGATTCCGTCACCTTCCAAGGGTCCTTCTTAAGATATCAGTGAGTTGTAAAAGATATTTAGATGCAAGGCACTCTATAAACACAAAGTATTATCATTATGTACTCCTGACAGTACAGATTTGGGGAACGCCATAAAAATGTACCAGATGAATGCTGTACATGTTGTATATTCTTTCTGTATAGGATAAGTGATTGGGCAACAAAATGGCAAATGAAATTTAATGTGGATAAATGTAAAGTAATGCACATTGGAAAAAAATAACCCCAACTATACGTACAATATGATGGAGGCTAATTTAGCTACAACTAATCAGGAAAGAGATCTTGCAGTCATCGTGGATAGTTCTCTGAAGACGTCCACGCAGTGTGCAGCGGCAGTCAAAAAAGCAAACAGGATGATAGGAATCATTAAAAAAGGGATAGAGAATAAGACTGAGAATATCTTATTGCCCTTATATAAGGTACGCCCACATCTTGAATACTACATACAGATGTGGTCTCCTCATCTCAAAAAAGGTATACTGGCATTAGAAAAGGTTCAGAGAAGGGCAAGTAAACGATTAGGGGTTTGGAACAGGTCCCGTATGAGGAGAGATTAAAGAGACTAGGACTTATCAGTTTGGAAAAGAGACTAAGGGAGGATATGATAGAGGTATATAAAATCATGAGTGGTGTGGAGAAAGTGAATAAGGAAAAGTTATTTACTTGTTCCTATAATATAAGAACTAAGGGCCACCGAACGAAAGTAATGGGCAGCAGGTTTAAAACAAAGGAAGTTCTTCTTCACACAGCGCATAGTCAACCTGTGGAACTTCTTGCCTGAGGCGGTTATGAAGGCTAGGACTATAATAGGGTTTAAAAGAGAACTAGATAAATTCATGAAGGTTAATGTGCAGTCTGATTTGAGGTTGTGGGAGGATTTACCACCAGCCTTGGGAGAGCTTTCACTGCCTGCTGGCCTGGGGAACACATCTTGTGCCACGCGAGTAGGAAGGTGGAGGAGCTCGGCTGCGCACAGCAGGATGACTTCACTCTTTCTATTTCTGCATGAATTCCTAACGTCGTATTGCTGCTCTCCTCTTTCAGTTGGAGGTTTCTCAGCTGGAGGGGAGTCTCCAACAGCCCAAAGCTCAGTCTGCCATGTCTCCTTATCTTGTCCCAGACACCCAAGCTCTCTGCCAGCACCTCAACATCATCCGGCAGTTAGCTACCAGCGGGAGGTTCATCATCATCATCCCTCGCACAGGTACAGCGCGACTCTTGCTTGCGCCTTTGATTGTGTGTGGTTTTGAAGAGGCTTTCAAGGCCACGGTGAGCCCTTTGAGAACAATGGAGAGTCCTCCCTATCTCACAGCTGAGAGCAGGGAGAGGTCACTTGCTGAGCTCTGTTGGAAATCGGACCCAACTCGACAGCCTCCAGGAGGTCAGAGTGAGAGGGAACTGTGGTGTCTGGATTTCTCCTGCAAAACTTGTCCGGTGTTCTTGTATAAAATATGCAAGGAGGCTAGTGACTCTTGGAAAGTGTAAGCAAAGCGGGTCCCCAAGTCGCAAAGCTTTGGAGAATGGTTGGCTTTGCTGACACACTCTATTCAGTCGTATGACCGACAAGTTATCTCGGTCTCAGCCCACATTACTATGTCCCTTGCTTGAATTCTGGTGGCTGTTTTAGTGACTTGTGTGAAATGAGGTGATGGTCTTGGTCCATTTTTTTTAGTGGGCAAGTTCCCATTCCCCTAACCCTTGTGAAGGGCTTTGAGGATGAAAATTTATATAAATTCTACATATTTCCCCCCTTCCCCTGATTTGTGCATCACTTTGTAATACCTTGTACACTTAGAGCAATCTTTTTCTTATCTGCCATATACCTCCTCTCCTCCTTCAGACCCTCTCCTTAAACAGTTCTCCTGTTATTGGTTTCTTCCCCTGTGGCAGAACTTCAATCCCATGTTGGTTTTCCTGTAGATTGCTCATATGGGCAGGGACATGCGCGCTCTTGCTAGTTCGTGCATGCTCTCTCCCTGGTTTGCTTAGCTCCATTTATGTTTGCAGCACTTTATAAATGTCAGTTTCTCAAACTATTGGCCACAGCTGGCATCCATTGGCATCTTTGTAATCTCACAGAGCTCAAAAACTGAATGTTTCATCAAAACTGATCTTCCTGTTTACTCTTAGAAGGTGACCACATCAGGTCAGGGTGGAGGAAGGTTGGGGCATTGTAGAGGAGTTTGCCCTGCCCTGTTTTGTGCATAAAGGATCCTACTCGCAGGGCTATGAATTCAGTGCTGGAAATAAGCACTGATTCAATTTGTTTTACTAAAAAAGGCTTCTTGTTGGAGTAGCAGCTACATATAAGTTTGCCTGTGTCCTTATTTGGACATCTGCAGTTCAGTCTGAACTCTAATATAGATCATCAGCTAATAATTAGAGAATGGTCCAGATCAACAGCTGATGAGTTTGTGTTTAGCAGCAGCATAAGTTATAGCCATGTGCCAGAGGCAATTCCACAGCTCCTAGAATTCATGCCTCACATGGGCTTAACCCATAAAACTAACTTTCTCACTTCTGTTTTTTTTTACTAGTGATTGATGGTTTAGACTTCCTGAAAAAGGAGAATGCAGGCGCGCGTGACAGCATCCGATATTTAGAGGCAGAATTTAAAAAAGGAAACAGGTAATGCCCTTTAACCATTGCTTAAAGTAAACTTTTTTTAATGTAGGAAAAAGTCCTTCAGAGAAATGTTTATACAGAATGGACACAGAACAAAAGCAGAACGGGCATAGTTAAAGGTTCACCAGGGCAATACACAGAAGGCCCGAGCAACAAATAGTACAATAATTTAACGTGATTCATGGCTGGATTCTAAAACCCTCTTTGACAATCTCTGTATACCTGTAGGGACCACTTTACTTCAAAATGAAATGCAGCCACTTTTGGTATGCGATGTTGCAGTTGCTAATGATTGATACGAAGCTTTTTTTAGATGGGAATTGGAGAATGATTTTTTCCAACAGAATTTCACACTGTGTTAAGCATGTAGAATGTAATCATGTTCCCTTGAGAATGAAGTGACTAAGCTGTTAATAGAATCTGCAGACTTTCATTAAAATAAGGTTTTATATCAAAGGTCCAGTATATGTCACCGTCCAGTCCCGTCTTTTTAAAAAAATGCACTAGGGATGATGCTGGAAATTGTTCTTCTCCAGTCTACTAGTATCCATTGAATCAAGGCAGTGGATAAAGGAAAACTGCATGTTATAATCTAGTTGATCTTTGGAAAGTCTTTGCCTCTCATCTGATGATTCTTTAGTAGCCTCTTCTTATAAATTTTGACAAAGTACTGTTAGAGATTAGAAATTGGCTGAGCAACAGAAAACAAAGATTAGGAATAATGATCACCTTGTAACATGTCATAAGGTTAACTGGTGTCATGACCCAGAAATATGTGTTAGGACTTTCCATGCCAGTGATCTGGTCATGGGCAAGCAGTATCTGCATGTGAAGAGTCATGACGTTATTTAGGTTAGTTGAGACTAAAGAAAGCTGTGAGAAATTTCTAAGCAAGTTAGGAGACTGGGCAGCACATGGCAGACATCCAGCAATACTGAGGCAATCAGTATAGGGATAACCATATAACTTCCTTTGCCGTAAAATACTGACATTTGCCCTTTTAGTAACCTCCATGTGGACTCAGTAAATCTCCTCTTTCCTCAGGTACATTCGTTGCCAGAAAGATGTTGGGAAAAGCTTTGAGAGGCATAAACTGAAAAGACAGGATTTAGATGCCTGGTAAGTTGACAGCTTAGCACAACTTGTGAAGTTGTTTTATTTTCTCATTACATATGTGGACTCGGGGATTCAATGCCATCTCTGGGACTAGTTGCATAAATTTGGGTTGCTAGATTTGATCCTCTTCTTCGGATTTTTATCTGATGTGCAAGACAAAGGGGCTGTGAGAATCAGTATTTTATCCACTGGAGAGTGTTAGCCAGGATGGGTAAGGAATGGTGTCCCCAACCTCTGTTTGTCAGAGGGTGGAGATGGATGGCAGGAGAGAGATCGCTTGATCATTATCTGTTTGGTTCTCTCCCTCTGGGGCACCTGGCATTGGCCACTGTTGGCAGACCAGATACTGGGCTGGATGGACCTTTGGTTTGACCCAGTATGGCTGTTCTTATATTCTTATGTTCCTGGAGGGTTCATAGCAATCTGAAGAATAGGATCAAATCTAGCAACCCATACTCATGCGACACTTGGTACCTAATTCCCTCTAAATTGCAAGGCCACATTGCCTTGCAGCAGCCTAGTAAGTGCTATGCACGCACTCGGGTCTGCGTCGGGGAGAGATTCCTCTCCTCCAGACCCGGCCCAGACCTGCCACAGCAATGGGAAAAGCGCCCTTCCCCTGGCCTCAACCCAGCCTGGGTTGGACCTGCTACAGTCACGGGAGAGGTGTGGCTCCACTGGCCCCAATCCAGCCTGGGTCAGGCATGAAGTTGGAGAGGTTCCCCAACCCCAACCCAGTCCTGGCCTGCACCTGCTGTGGCCAAGGGAGAGGCGCTTTTCCCATGTCCCCAACCCCAGAGTTGTCACTTTCAAGAGAGGCACCCGCCACACTCAGGTGCTGCTGCATGGGGAGAGAGCTGGGGCATGTCCTCTTTCTCCAGGATAGCCTGCACCCCAAACCGTTCATGCTCGGCTGCAGCCCTGAGTCCTTCACCCTGTGGCCCCACCTCAGAGCCTGGAACCCCAGCCTTCTGCCTCTGTCCTGAGCCCCCTCCCACACTCTGAGCCCCTCAGCCCTACTCCCCCCACAAGAACTTTGTTACGTGCATCAGTAAGGAGGTGATGTGTGACCCACCATATTGGTGCACATAACAAAATTCATTTCACACATAGGTGGGAAAATTTAGAGGGAACACTGCTCAGGGATCTTCTGGGATCTATTCCCGTCTGTGACACTTCCCTTATCCCTGCCTCAGTTTTCCCTCCTGCACTTTGCCTTTCGATGTAGATGGTAAGTCAGTTGGGGCCTTTCAGTGCTACTTAAATGCAGATAGTGGGATTGAGAGACTGCACTGTGGTGAGGCTGAAGCATGCCCTAAAGCTGTATATATTTATACTGCTGTGGGTAAGCGAAATCAATAATTGTTTGCACAGACACAATAGTGATTTGATTTTTTTTAACATGAATGTGACAGGAACCTCTATAAAATATTGGACAGCTGCAAACAATTGACAGTGTCACAAGGGAATGGAGAGGATGACACCACGGGAATGGTTACCATTATAACTGGCTTTCAGCCGGAGGATCCAAGCAAATTCTCTGCACCCATGCAGGTGAGTGCTCCAGAATAGGGTAACTGTGTTATAACCCCTGGCACAACCTTTCCTGACCCCAGGTAAGGAAAAATATCTATTTCATCATCTGCATCTTTACCACAAGTGTGTTTCCCTGGGCTAGTAAGTGCACTTTATTTCACAAGGCTGTGTTATAAACCTTGTCCCTTGTTCTCATTTGTATTGGGGCTATGCTGATAGGTCAAAAGGGGTCTTTGGAATGGGCATAACTGTTACTTATACCATTCTAAGCCCCTTTATGATGTCCAAGCAGTGTAAAGTGGCCTTAGGGTGAATAAGAATCAGGCCTTTTGGTTCTACCCAGGCACTTTTGCTAAGATTCTCAAAGCTGCCTAGATGCTCAACTCCCATCACTCCCCATTGGGAAGCGGAGCATTGTGGCTCCAGAGAGCAAAGCTGATGAGGCCTCCTTGTTCCACTTATCCCAGCACTGCCTGTGCGGGAACCCCCTGGTGTTGGCCCTGCTAGTCCCCAGGGCCACCTCGGAGCAAGGGTGGGAAGAGGCAGGACCTGGGGTCAAGGGGGGTTGTCCTGGCCCTTCCCTGACATGGGGTTGTCCCATGGCTGGTGCCCCCAGCCTCCCTAGCTCTCCCCTGAGCAGTTGCCTCTGAACATAACTCAAATTGTATAGCTTAGAGGGACTTCTTCCCCATTGCTCTGGGACTCGGTGTCCCAAAGGATAATATTTCTCTGTCCCACAAGGGTGTTGCGACTAATACATTGAAGCATATGGTGCTCTTGTTAAGATCTGGTTCAGTTGCCATTGCAGTCAGTGGAAGGACTGTGATCCAGTTCAGGGGGTGATGCTTTCGGCCCATACCAGGGTGAAGGGTGGTCAGACAAGTGCCTAGATAAATTGGATCACCCAGTCTTGGCAATGGAGAAAAAAATAACCTGAGCCTGCGATTGTCTTGTTTTTTGTCTCCAGTCTGCTATCCAGGCAGCTGCCAGTGCCAGTGTAGAAATAAAACATGTGCTGGAGTTCTACAAGCAGTGGAAGGAGATGGGCTGACAGTTAGAAGGGCATCGGGTTGGTGTACCTTTCTCTCCCCCTCTCAGAACGCGCAGTGTCTGAACGAAGGAAACAAAACACAGGCGAGATTTAAGACGCGAAGCAGCAGCAGCAACCATGACAAACAAATCCAGTTCCGGCAGGCACACAAAAACACCCACCACCCACACCCTGAGCAGACGACTGTACATTCCCAGCAGCGCCAGCGGCTCTGAGAAGAGAGACATCTCAGCGAGGCCAAGAAGAGATCTGCCCTTCTCCCGGTCGGCAGGGATGGGCGAGAGACGGGCAGTCGTTCATCCCCACAAAGCCTGCTTGGTCACCCCCAATTGGCAGGCAGCTCCGCGTAGGTACTTTATGTAAACAAGCCAAATCTGCCGCAGTGGAAGTGGAGTATCAGAAGAGGCTAGCCTCCAGGACCGAGGACAAAGATCCAAAGAGTGCTCTTTGTTGGGAATCTGGTGATAGGAACACGAACACCTTTTTAAATTAATTTTTCCATCTTTTGTCTTTTAATTTTTAGCATATATATTTAAAAGCCTTTGAGGGTCTGGATCCTTTTCAAATGTTAAAGAAATTAAAGAAAAAAAGGCAATGATGATGCTATTTTTAAAGCAAAAAACCAACCCTCCCCCCCAAAAAAACCTTTCCATGAAGTTTTAGGAACAAATTTATTTATTCCTCTCCTCCTCTTTCCACACTGGGGAGAATGCAAAAGTGATTGTTTTCTGTAGAGAGAAGCACCAGCTGGAAGCCTTTCCTATTTTGCTAGGGGTTTGGTGTGCATTCCTTGCTTTTGTTCTTGTTGCGTGTGTTGTGAGCCATGATAGATCTGTCTTGGGTTGATTGAGAGAAGAGGAGGAAAGGTTTCTTTCCTTCTCCTAAATGACCCCCGTCGCCAGCAGGGGTCATTTGTGCAGGGGAAGGATAAAGGTGAATGCGATCCAGGCTAGTTGCTGGGAGTCAGAATGGAGCTGCATTGGATGCTTAGACAGTGGCAAGGGTTTTTGATTTGGCCTGAGTCTACTGAGACTCAGGAGACAAATCAGACCTAAAAACATCTCCAAAGGATCCCTAATTCCTCTTCTTGTGTTTTGAGTGGGCCGTTGGAGAGGACAGGATTTTCACTATCTCTGCAGTTGTTCTCAGTAATACCTTCTTCCGTGTAAATCAGGAGAAGTTTGCAGAGCTTGTGTGGTCCCTAGGAGCAGGAGGGGGAAATGCAGTGACCAGTGCAAGCCAAAGTCAGCCAGAACTCGCCCGTGGACTGTTCTGTGTACGGCAACATCCATAAAGGACGGGAAGAAAATAGCTGGACAGATGCTGGAATTTGCTCCGTTTGTTTCCTGTGAGGCAGATTTACAAACCTCTCCTGCACCATCTCTAACATCTTCTATCTGACTTCTGGTGACATTAATACCTGTGACTGAAAAGCATATCTCTATATAAAGATCACTAAGCACTGGGTAGCAGTTACAGCATCTCTTTGCAATTGATCTGTGTCTTTTAAGACCAGATGTCCCCATCTACTTGAATCAGCAGCAACTATGCAAATAATGAGTTTAACCCACTGGTCTCTGTCAGGCTGTTTTAATGTGGCCTGCCAAAAAGCTGCTATAACAGGTTACATACTTTGAATGGACCATTTAAAAAAAATGACCATTTCCAAACCCTGAAGATTTCCCAGCATAACAAATTATACCAGGATTGCCAAATATCCTGTTTTTGGTTCGGACAATATGAATCCTACAGAATTCATCCGCCATGCAGTTGAGATCATTTGCAGCCAGCAACTTGGTTGCTCAGTTACGGTGATTTTTTTTAAAATTCCTTTGGAAAGCAGAGAGAGTACAGGGTCAGCGTTACTAACAAGTTTTATGACTTCACCTGAAACTTCTGGTGCGTTACTAGGCCATGCCAAGAAGACAGCTTATGCAAAAATGCTGTGTGGGGACTTCCATTCAATTCTGATGACTTCCTATGTTTACAGATTTCAGCTGTAGCATATCTCCAGGTGGAGTTTGGTGCATGACTTTTATTCTTTCCCACACGAATGCCACTATTTTCTTTTATTGGATCAGTTTCTGTTTAGCTTGTGTTGTTATTTAATGGAGATGCAGAACGTAAAAAAAAAACCCACCCTGGGTATGCTGCTTTCACAGAAAACTTCCCGGCTGAGTTGTACGAGCCAGAGCAGTGTAGTGAACAGGCGAACAGAATCACCCTCTGCCTGCTTGTCCCTTTTTTGACATGGTGCTGGCCAGTGCACTAAATTACACTCCCCACTGACCCATGAGTCTAGGGCAGCTTGAACCCTGCCTCGTGGATCAGACTTCTCGCTAGTATTTGGGTGTTCTGCTCAGCTCCTTTCGGTAGGACGCAAACTGGAACCTGCTGCAATGAGAACATCGTAGTGGAAGCAAGATCTTGCACTACGAGAAGCGTTGCCACAGCGGGTCACCTCTTTAGTCCTAGGAAATACTTATTTTTTTTCTTCCTTCTCGGTATGTAGTCTGCAACAGGCTGTTTTGGTTTTGAAAAGATACTGGAATCATTCTGCAATTAAAGTCCAAAGCTTGGTGGGAGGGAAGCTGTGCAGATGGAGCGTATTTCAATGGCCGTGGACAAGATGGGGAGGGAGCAGTGCAAATGAAGCAGAAACTGAAACCCGGTCCCTTGCCGACAGACTCCGCTGGCATGGCAGTTACAATTTCCAAGTCATCGGTGCAACCTAAAATGGGGACTAGAACCCTGGAGCTGATCTTTGTGACTCAGGGATCATGTACAGAGCGGGGGTGGGGAGCAGCTGCCCAGCACTGCACTATTGTGACCATGCAATTTGGAGGCGGCTAGGGAAGAGCCACGACACAGAAGAGACGTCGAAGCGGATGCCGCTGCTGCCTGCCATTTGAAATGGAACGACCACTTGCGCAGTCAGTTGAGGGGGGTTGTTTTGATAGTTGCATTAGGGCAGGCAAGGCATTTTCAAATGTCCTTTTTGGAAGGTGTTTTTTAACCTCACATTTATTTGGTAACAATAAACGTTGCTGAGCTACAAAGAGATCCCTCTGCGTGTATCCGGAAAGAGAAATCCAAGCATGATTTTTTTTTTAAAGGGGGAGAGCGTATCTGTATTTTGTCAACATCCCTGTCTTGATGCCCTGCCTTTCTCAAGGGTATTTTTGGTCTTATTGCAAGTACATTATGGGAGATGGGGAAGATCTTTGGCTGTCCTCTGTCATGAGGAGTTCTGGTTGCCCCCTTAGTGGTGTAGACGAACATGTAGACCCTTCTGCTGTCTCCGTGCATGTTTTGCACCTTCTTTCTGTTGCGATAGGAAGCTTCAAGCAGAGAGGGTCACTGTTCAAAGATGCGCCTTGAAGTTCCCCATGCATGCTTTTATCCTCCAAAACATGTGGCCGTGCCACCATGATTAAATGCAAGCAACACATGTTCTGTTCCCTTGCTGGATTTAATCTAAACTGGAAAAGGGACGGAGAACAGTATCTTGAGTTTGTGAAAAAGCACAGCCATAGAGCAAAGCATCAAGGAAGATGGCACATTGTTTCTTCTTATAAAATATTTTTCTAGCCATGGCCTATGATTGGAGATACTACTTGATTATTTTCAGGAGAGGTGCAAGGGAGGATGCTTTTAAGACCCGATTCTGCAGCTTACAATGGACCAGATTCCCAACTAGCATCAGCTGGCGCAGGTCTGTCAAAAATATGCAGCCATGACTAAATGCATAATTGGAGCTGTGCTGACTTAGTCCAGCAGGGGACTTGGTCCAGGAATGCTCAATCCCAGGCTAGCTCTTAATCAGAGGTGGCCACTTCTAATGAACTGCAATGGCCGTTATTAAACCCAAGCATTTCTCCAGTGGGAGAATGCGAGTTGATGGCCCATAGTGCTAGTGCCTGGAAGCTCTTAACATTGTGGTTTGGGTCTTGCAGAAGTCTGCCGCAGCGTTTAATAGAGCCACCCTGAAAGGTAGCTGTAAACTGACTTCCCAAGCTATCTCTAATGCAGCATTCGAGACTTGCAAAGCCAGCTCATCTTCTGCTAACACAAATGGTGCTATCTTGGTAGCTACGAAAAGCTTCTTAGACCAGGTCCAAGCTAGCCCCTGGGGAGAGATGTTAGCTCGAAGCATAATGCCTACTATGCTGGTAAAAAGAAAAAATGCTTTATGGGGTTAAAACATTGGCTTAAATTGAATCATTTTGTGTATTTCTGGGCTTTGGTTTTCTTTTTATCTCCCTTGAGTTGGGTTCCCAGAAGCTTCAGCATGACAGCCTCATGCCCCGAGACTGTCGGTTTCTGGGGGCTAGCGGCGTCCCTAATTTCTCATGCAGGTGGCAGGTTTGTTTTGCCAGCAGCCATCTATACGTGTAGCTATGGGTGAAAAACAACTGTTCAGTATGTGTTGGGCAGTGTACTGTATGGGTAGGCTGTGCCAAACAACTCTGGTCTGTTCCTCCACTTTGGTCACGTGATTGTTTGAATGCCCTTTGACACGACTCCGCTTTTCATTCTTGACATCTAGCAAGGTGTCTGCTTAAAGGGGGAGGGGTGGAATACAGTGTGATACCAGCTGAGGATGAAATTAAGAGGTCTGCAAGGATGAGCAGGGAATTAGTAGAGGGATGACTTGTGGCACCCAGTCCTTCCTCTGCTTCTGCAAACATTAAAACCCACGTTGAGAGCAGTGTTGTTGGGTTGGTGCCAGAGTTGCTTCCCCTCCAGTCATTTTGTAGCACAAATGACTCCTAGCCTGTGGATTCGCTGTTCAGTGCATATTAACCAGAGAGGAATAGACACACATTCTGGATTAACAGTCCACGCGATGTGTGTCTTAGGGGAACAGTGCCACACGTTAGTCAGTTGTTTGATAATATAAACTTGAAGAGGGTGCAGGGCACAGGGCATTGCAGGGCCTTTTGACCTCTGGTTTCATGGCATGCGTCTGACCGTGGTTGGAACACATTGACTGGCTTAATAAAGTACAAGATGTTTGTACCTCCTGCTGGCTCCGTTTATTATTTCCCTCCTCCTATCTCTGATTGGTTGAGTCTGTATCTGGCGGGAGCTGTACTTTTCTCGTGTATCTGTGCCTGCTAGTCTAAATTGGACATTTCTCTAACCACTTCAATGTCTTTTTCATGCTGACTTCAGAGATGCAGATGGAAGTTCGGGGCACAAGTTCTGCCTAGGAAGGCAATTGCCTTTCATTAAATGGCTCCTTTCATGTTGTGACGCGCCCCCTCTCCCCATGTTTTATGAAGTTGTCTGACGGATACGAATATGCATAATTCAAAGATACTTGGGACAGAATACCTCGTAACCTAGCAATATCACTATCTGTTGCATCTGTGTATCTTATTTTGATGTATGTGTCACTCTTGTATGTAAAGTTAGAAATATGGGCTATGGAATGGTTTATACTTTTAAATGTGCGCAAATGAAAGCCATGGAACACTTGCTCAAACTTAAGAGACAAAACAAGACTGTTTACAGGCCATTAAGTTGATCACCCAGTGATTAAGGTTGCCAGAGCATTGGAAAACACCCTTGATGGCTTTCATTTGCACATCTCAATTTTTTGAAAACTGAAGAATTCTCAAATTTTTCTTTGATCTTTTTTTTATTCTCACTTTTCAAAAACGTCTCCAACTTCAGAAAAGTACCAGAGTGGCAAAAGGAGAAAAAACCTCTCCACTCAGACTCTCAAATTTTTCAAATGTTGAGGAAACAAATTGGTTTGAAGTGACCATTTAGTTTAGCAGTATAATTAACATTTTTCGTTTGCTTGCAGGGAAGAGGGAAAAAAATTTCAGCCAGCTTGAGTGACAAGTAAAGGGCTGAAATAAAGCAAAGGATCTAAGGTGGGGGTGGGTAATAATTTTTAATGGGGGAGCTACTCCAAAATTTTGAAAAGTGGTCCAGGGCCACACTTCTATGGAAGGGGTGCGGTAGTTCTGGGATGGCGGGTGAGATGCAGAAGGGAGCTTGGAATAGAGGAGAGGGTGTGGGGTCTGAGAGGGAGTTTGGGTGCAGGGTCTGGGAGGGAGTATGGATGCAGGAGAGGATTCTGGCCTGGGGGAGGGTTATGGGAGGAGAGTGCAAGGTCTGGGAAAGAATTGTGACCTGGAGAAGTGATGCAGAGGGTTTGGGTGGTGGCCTGGGCAGGAAGTTGCAGGAAAGAGTGCCTGCTGGGAGGCATTTACCTAGATGGCTCCCAGTTGGAAGCCCTGAAGTAACCTGAGGCAGGCTTCCTGCCTGTCTGCTGCAGTCCCAGGCTCATCAGCTTGATGCTCCATGTGGCTTTGCTCCAGCATGGGGAGGGGTCAGCGAGGGAGGGAGGAGACTTGGCATGTTGCCCCTGCAAAATTTCTCAGCTCCTATGTCTGGAAACTGGCCACCTCTTGTATGTAAAGTTAGAAATATGGGCTATGGAATGGTTTATACTTTTAAATGTGCGCAAATGAAAGCCATGGAACACTTGCTCAAACTTAAGAGACAAAACAAGACTGTTTACAGGCCATTAAGTTGATCACCCAGTGATTAAGGTTGCCAGAGCATTGGAAAACACCCTTGATGGCTTTCATTTGCACATCTCAATTTTTTGAAAACTGAAGAATTCTCAAATTTTTCTTTGATCTTTTTTTTATTCTCACTTTTCAAAAACGTCTCCAACTTCAGAAAAGTACCAGAGTGGCAAAAGGAGAAAAAACCTCTCCACTCAGACTCTCAAATTTTTCAAATGTTGAGGAAACAAATTGGTTTGAAGTGACCATTTAGTTTAGCAGTATAATTAACATTTTTCGTTTGCTTGCAGGGAAGAGGGAAAAAAATTTCAGCCAGCTTGAGTGACAAGTAAAGGGCTGAAATAAAGCAAAGGATCTAAGGTGGGGGTGGGTAATAATTTTTAATGGGGGAGCTACTCCAAAATTTTGAAAAGTGGTCCAGGGCCACACTTCTATGGAAGGGGTGCGGTAGTTCTGGGATGGCGGGTGAGATGCAGAAGGGAGCTTGGAATAGAAAGACACTCCCCACATTCCCCTTACAGACCAGAGCCTAAGAGAGCCCAGGCTAGTAGATTTTGGCTCTCGAGTGGGACCAAAACTGAGGGGTGTTCAGTGTGTGGGAGGGGACTGCCGGGAAGTAGGCTTGGGGTGTAGGGTTTGAATAGGAGGGAGTGGGCTGGGTGGGGAGATTCCAAACTGGGGGCTGAATCCATGCAACCTGGGGGCTACATCCAGCCCCTGGGCCTCAAGTTCCCCACCCCGACCTAGGGCGTCGTCATCAGGAAGGAAGGTCACGAGATGTTAAAAGTTTTATTATCTAAAACAAAGAATATCTTGCTCTTCCACTCCCTGCATGGTCTGACCCTTCAAGATCAAGTTTTCTGTCCCCATCTATCTCCTCACACCTGGGCTAAGAGTCACTTCACTTAGGACTTTTACAGTAATGGCCAAGGGTCGTGACAAACGTTTCCCTCAAATCAGCACTTGCCATCATCATAGGTTGTTGCTCTGAAACCTCAGCCAAGTCCTGGTGGTGTCATCTGGTATGGTTCTCCAGGGTAGTGTGTTGGCAGGGGCAGTTTCTCTGCATTCAGGTGGGATGTCATTCCTCAGCTTCTGCTTGCTCTGGCTGCCGCAGGCAGGCAGGTGGCTAGACTCCATTTTTCAGTGTTGGTTTTTAGGGTTGCCAGATGGTTTCAACAAAAATACTGGACACAGTTGACATTACATCACGATCTACATGACATCTTTTTTTTAGTAAATAACGGACTGAGGCCACTCCGAACCCCACCAAGCACCGAGGAGGGAAGGAGAGGACCAGAGCCCATACCAGACCTGCCTTGCCAGGACCAGGGAGGGTCCCACACCCCG